GGACTTCAGGTGAATATAGAGAAGACAGAAGTGATGAAGATACCGCACCACCACCATCAACAACAACAACAAACTCCAATCACCGTCAACGGGAGAAACTTGAAGGAAGTAACCTCCTTCACTTATCTAGGAAGCACTGTTTCAACTACAGGCGGGACGGACGAGGACGTCAAAGTCAGAATCGGAAAAGCAAGACAGGTGTTCATTAGCCTGAAACCAGTGTGGAGATCTTTTCCACTCAGCATGTGGAACAAGATACGGATTTTCAACACCAACGTCAAGTCAGTGCTTCTGTATGGCTCAGAGACTTGGCGCGTCACGAAAGGTATTTCCAATAAACTACAGACATTCATCAACAACTGCTTACGCTCGCTGCTGAAGATCAGATGGCCAGAAAAAATAAGCAACAAGGAACTCTGGGAACGAACCAACCAAGAACCTATCACGCAACAAATATGCAGGAAGAAGTGGAGATGGATTGGCCATGCACTGAGAAGGCCGACTGAGGACATCACGCGTCAGGCCCTCGAGTGGAATCCCCATGGGAAGCGACGAGTTGGACGTCCAAGGGTGACATGGAGGAGGTCGTGCGAGGAGGAAATGAGAGCTTCTGGGCTGTCGTGAAACCAGGTTCAAAAGATCTCAGAGAACAGATTTCACTGGAGACGTGCTACTGAAGCCCTATGTTCCACTAGGAACCCAAGGGACTAATAATAATAATAATAATAATAATAGTAGGTGCAATCCGATTGCTTTATGAGGTAAAAAATGAACAAGGAAAATTAGCTACGTTGGATTGCAGAGTAAAACGAACAATAGACGGTGATTCAGATACTACCATTAACAGGAAACCAACACATTTAAATAGGTATCTCGACTCCAGGTCATCTCATCCAATATCAGTTAGTGTGTGTTCAGTCAGATCTCTAAATGATCGAGCTAAAAAACTCACAAGTCAGTGCAAAGACTTAAACAAGGAATTGAAACACACAATAGAAGCTTTAATAATTATCCCCTACCGTTTATTTAAAACTTCGTACAAACAAACAAGAAACAAAATAATAACAGTAGTACTAATATGAATAATAGTGACAAGATGAGCAGAAAGGAGTTCACAGTCTCCGTTAAGTTACCATATGAGCCAAGAAGAACAGAAACTCTACGTAGGATTCTCAAGAAGGCCGGGGTTGGGTGGGGGCTGGATAGTGGTATTTCAACTTACAAAATCACTTAGAGATAAGCTTTGGATGCGATTGAGCCAATTAAGCAAAATAATCTAACCTATCAAATTCCTTGTAATGACTCTGAGGTCAAGTACGTACGTCAAACTAACCAGTTAGAATGGCTGGACATAGGAATTCAGCTAAATATAGAATGACAGACCCGAATAAGATCAATAATCTAGAAAAACAGTCAGCTATTAAAATCTATGCATTAACACACAATAGGATGGTAGAAAACCGAAATAGAGTGAACATAGGTGATAGACGTGGACAAATTGACGCCTGTGTCTAGAGAGCAGCAATGAGTCTGAATATCTTATATTACTGTAAACAGATGTTTATGTGCTTGGGAAAAAACGGTGACTGTTATGTGACGACCCCAGACTTTAAGACAGAAACCGCATATGTTGAGTCTCGAGAAACGGTTGCTAACTGGTCCGGAAATACACTAATACAACGCCAGCAATAACACAATTCTAACTCCGGTAGAATAGACAATATCGTTGTAGTTTTTCTGAAACAGATGAGTACTGATGGACATTTTACATTAATGAATGAATAACTAGTGTGAAGTATGTTATTAAAGCAATACAACGTCATGTGAGAAAACTGTTGTGTGATTACCCTAGGGATGGATAAGTGTGAAAGCTAAAATGATGAAAAAGGTGCGTGTGATATCTGCTCAATGCTGTTTACAGATCAGAATCCTCTAGTATTGATTTATAGTGCATGTTATTTCGTGTCACACAACATCTTATGAGCCAATAACTCAAAAACTGCCATAGATGATATTCTCACCATGAAAATGTGTTGCATGTACATTTAAATTAAAAATATTCGAAATCAACAGTAATGTCTTAATGATGACTCTAGAAAAAGATTACTCACAACTAGATACAGAATAATCAAAAGCAGTACTTGCTAAGCTCAACTTATTTTACTACTCAACACAGAACTGGGATAAGAATCCATTTATAATGCACCAGACCATAATGTTTCTCTTGATTGACAATCTTATTGTTCTACTCAGTAAGCGACACTAAAAATGTACCTAAAACTTATGAAAAGCTTTAAACTTTCAAAAGTTTTGGTAGGCATATCATACAGTCGTATTATATGACACAACATACTGTGATGAAAAAATTGAAATGTAATCAGCAGTCTTGTCCACATTCATGCAGCAGACAATAAGATACACCAACTGTGCGAGAGCTATTGATGAAACTACCTGGGTACTCAAACCTCGGTAAGTAGACCGGCGTTTTAACTGGTTGAAACTTAACTCCCTAAAACCAGTGAGCCACTTTTCTATTTGGACTGCAACACAGTATACTCGACCTTCAGTTTCCGAGTGTTGTACTTGAACTGAGGTCTATCACCAGCTTCATTGAAGGCTTTTAACTTGATTTGGAAGGTTCCTTGCACTAGATAGTGGTCTGAACCTACATCTGCTCCTCTTCTTGACCTTGTGCCAAGTAGACTGTGTCTCCATTTTCTTGAGATTGAGAAAAAGTCGATTTGATTTTTAGTGTGTCCATCTGGTGAATGCTGAAATCCATGTCGCTGACTTGTGGATATCCTTGTGCTTGAACACACTGCCTCCGATCACCAAATCGTTGAATGCACAGAATTCTGCAAACAGTTCTCCATTCTCGTTCATCACCCCACCGAGCGCTTCTCGACCCATGGTTAGTTCTCTTCCTGTGTTGTCTGCTCCCAGTTTGGCATTCATGTCACCCCACCCATTAGAATTTTGATATCGCCAACTGAGGTCTTGTCCAGTGTTGATTGAAGTTGTCTGTAGAATTCCTCCTTTTTCTCCTGTTCTGCATTATTTGTAGGAAGCACTGTTTCAACTACAGGCGACACAGGCACAGACGAGGATGTCAAAGTCAGAATCGGAAAAGCAAGACAGGTGTTCATTAGCCTGAAACCAGTGTGGAGATCTTTCCCACTCAGCATGTGGAACAACATCCAGATTTTCAACACCAACGTCAAGTCAGTGCTTCTGTATGGCTCAGAGACTTGGCGTGTCACGAAAGGGATTTCCAATAAACTACAGACATTCATCAACAACTACTTACGCTCGTTACTGAAGATCAGATGGATTGCCAGAAAGAATAAGCAACAAGGAGCTCTGGGAACGAACCAATCAAGAACCTATCACGCAACAAATATGCAGAAGGAAGTGGAGATGGATTGGTGCATACACTGAGAAGGCCGACTGGGGACACCACGTGTCAGGCCCTCAAGTGGAATCCCCATGGGAAGCGACGAGTTGGACGTCCAAGGGTGACATGGAGGAGGTCGTGCGAGGAGGAAATGAGAGCTTCTGGGCTGTCGTGAAACCAGGTTCAAAAGATCTCAGAGAACAGATTTCACTGGAGACGTGCTACTGAAGCCCTATGTTCCACTAGGAACCCAAGGGACTAATAATAATATAATAATAATTCCTGGTATGAACAGCTTAAATAAGCGAACACTTCATCTTTCGACTAACTGAGTTCCAAGTGGAATCGGTCATGAATAGCTTTGTGAAAGTCTCTGATTTCAGCACTGATAAATATAGGTTCAAAACTAGTAAGTACCAACAAGCACGAGTCTTAAAACAGAATTTTTCGTTAACAGGAATTGAACATTTCAATGTTTCTACAACGAACGTCAAGACTTGTAACATCCAGTGGAATAGAATCTTCAGTTAGCTTATCACGCTGTCTAAGCGCCACACACAGGATGGTAAAACGACACATATGAATAAAATCAGGAAGTTAAAGTTGCAGGATCTACACACGCGTGGAACACCATTCAGCAAACCTACTCCTTTTCTACACAGTTGAGGCTAACATTCATTACCACACTTTTTGAGTGACCACTACCACATTAATTATAACCCAAGTAACACTTTGTGTCACTGTGGTCAGTGGAAAGACATGAACAAAAATTATCCCAACTAGATCAATCAATTCATAGCCCCAGCTCAATAAACACTTCCTAGCTGGGGTCCCTGAGACCATAGGAATCAGTGGTTGAGAACTCTGGGTGACATGACTTCAAATCGGTAGCAGTGGCGCAGATGTATTCACTCTTTGACGTCTTCCACTGTTTGAATATATTTCTACTAACCATTATCTTCAGAGTGTTTGTTTTCTCACACTATTTTGATATCAGTCTTTTTCTATTCACCTGTTCTTTGTGTACTTCTGTGAAGTGTGACAAATTGAACCGGCGAAGTTGTGTATGAGGTTCTACGTTGATTCTGTCCGCTTTTCTGTTTGACATTTGGCTATATAAGTAAGAAATACAGTTTGTTTTCGTTTGATTCAATACAATGTACACACGATGACTCGCCGTTCTTTTTGACTATTACAACAATGTTAGGAAAAGAAACAGATCACTTTTTAAACAATACAAGATGCAGAAACCAAAAGGAAAACAAAAGTTCGTTAGGAAAAAATTTCTTTAAAAAAGACCGTATGAAAGTGAACGAATGAAATGTGACCTAGTGCAATGACAAATACAAAAAAGGCGTTTTTATGCATAAGTGCGATAGTTATAACAACATTTAAGGCAATAATTTTTTACCAATGAAATCAACACAAACAGAACACAATTCTTTCTGTTAATGCTGCGTAAATGGTACTGATGACAAATAGGGAAACAGAGAGGACAACTTATATGAATCAGCAATTTACATGTGAAATTCGCAAATAAGCGCACTCATACACAAATGAAGTAAACGTTTGGAAAGATACCCGAAGAGATATAGAGACCAAACTACTACATTTGAGATCCATCGGCAGCAGCAGCTATATTCTCTGGTCCAAGTAAAGAACTATTTCCAGACCATGGAGTTTCTTTCCATATAAACCATAAGCCAGCTGCCCATAAAGCAATATTGGTAAATCCGAATATCTAATTTTCATTTTAAAAAGCGTAAAAAAGATTTACTGTTTTGAAGTCTAAATATATTCTGATTCGCTGTATGCATACCAATAATGGAAACCGTTATAAAAATACACTTTAAAGTATGAAAGCCTAGGGTACATTTATTTATGAAGACCATAAGTGAAATCCAATGAAAGCTACGTTCTGCAATCTAGACATTCGACTACAGACTCTTAGTTAACCTGTTCACCCTGCGCAACTTAGTCAAACCGAAATCCACTCAGCAACCAAGTGCGCATTAGTGAAGTAATCAATGGGGTAAACCTATTTTTTGAGGTCTAATGCTACTGCTTGGCTGCCTAAACCTCGGTAGGTAAAATGCTGTTCGTACCCATGACCCATTGACACTTACGCACTGATAAAATCAGCGTATAACTTCAAACACAAGTGTATCAACTCAACTTGCCACATTCTCAGTATATTATCAAGTTTATAAAACATCTCGTCATCCTCTGTGGCTATAAATGAAGACTAGAAAGTCACTCTTCGTTTGAACAACGTGAAAAGGTGAGTAAATGACGCTGTGCAATCTCTCCATGTATGCAGTTCAATACTCTTGTACGTGTAGTATTTATACGTTACGGTCAATATTCGGTTACGGAAACCACAACACATGGAGCGGGTTTCGGAGACATGATTGTATTGTCGCTTTCTGGAAGCCTACCCTTCTCATACACAGTTCCACAGTTATTCAATCATGAAAGTACTTAAAATAACATCAGAGACACAACAATTGTTTGACTTCACAAGCATTATCTCGATCGGATCAATTTCAAATTTCCACGGTTTCAATATGACTAACACAATGACAAAATCAACGTACAACCTCAAACACAAGTACATCACCTCAACTTGCCACACTTCACAGTAGTACACAAACAACAAGTCAATAGAAAATGACTAATTTCAAAGTAAACAAACTCATATGAGAGAACAAACACTCTTAAGATAACGGTTAGTGAGAATATTCAAGCTTTAGATGTCAACGAGTCAACACATCTCCACCCCTGTCACCGACTTACAGTCATGTCACTAACAGTCTTCAACCACTGACTCCTTTCGTCTCGGGACACTAACCAAGCGGTCTACACCTCCCCACACGACTCAGATCAACAGTCAGAGAGAGACATCATCGACTGGTGCCACGTCTCAATCTCGCCAGTCTGAACCCTCTTCCAACCTGATCCAGCTTCCACCACCAGCATAGCACGTCGAGGTGGCAGTGGATCGACATGTGCAGTACATATCCAAGCCATCTCAGTCGATTAAGGTTCACAACCTCATCAATCGAATTGTCTGTCTAGCTGAGTACCCTTCACCTGACCTCACCAAACGCGAGCAACTCACTCGTTGGAATTCAATGACGTATAAAAGTCCTATAGCTGTGGGTATTGTCCGAGATTTCTTGACAATCTATTTCACTTCAGACATTCACCTTTTATACTTCCTTCTTTCAAGATATACTTTTCTCTAAAAATCCCCTTCACTGTTTGAGTATTCAACTATGGATTCAAAACAGTATGTTACACATGACAACCAGATTTGAACTAACAAGAACAATGTACAATTGGTACACTCGTATGTTAGTTCAAAATGATACAAATAAAACCTGAGGATCAAGGTGAAATGATCAGGATGAAGAAAACAACACCAGTTATGATAAACAACTGAGCGAAAGAGGTAATAGAAACAATAAGAAGGGAAATAAAACATTTTTTTCTAAATCAGATGTCCAAGATTTGTAGAAAAAATTATCTCATTTGGGTTGTATAACTTGAAGTATTCAGTTACCTCAGATACCAAATTGATGAACTTAATACTTCGCAAGTGAAAAACTACCTTTGATAGATTAGTGCGATGACGAAATTTAACCACTCAGAAACCTTTATTCTACACTAAATACAACTAGCCTGTGTTGTGGTAATCTGAGTAAAGAAATGCATAACATGTGTCCTAATCCACTACCATTCCTTACTGCAGCTATTTTAACATCCATGTTGCCCATATTATGACCCTACCACAAAAATGATTAACTAAACAACTATGAGTCTCAACGTCTTTTACAGTCATGTCTCGGATACATAGAGTGGAACAGAGCAATAATGTACCGTAGACTATGCATCTACTAGACATTTAGATATTTCAACTGAGATAGGTGGTGTAAGTAGGCAGTGACATTTCATCACCACTAATTCATTAGGAATTGATGTGAATTCTCGAATAAGGAAGCTGGTAAACGCTCTAAATTACTTCGCTCTTTTTTGGTAACTAAGCAACAGTCCAGATCATTTTGAAAGCTGTACTACGTATGCAGAAGTTAAGCATGATTAGTGAAGCTAGTGAACGCGGTACCCGTACCTGCTGGCATTCGTCAACAAGACGTGTCCTAACCTTAAGGTACCTGATGTCTACCCAAAGATCCGGACTCTCATCACCCAATGCTGCAGTCAGAAACCTTATCACTGAACTATTTAGGTTGCAATAGACCTCCTGAAAGATGTTGAATCTTCTGAAGTAGTGACATTGCAAAATAACCGATAAAAATCGGTCCACAATTAAGACTAAACAACGTGAAACTGGATTTCCGAGGTGACACTAGTTGCCTCGAGGTTGCTGGTGAGTGCCAACAAGCACAAAAGCCAAGTCCAGGACTTTCTACAGCTTTTTTGTAACCACCTAGCAACAACTTGATGATTACTTCAGTAAAGTCTTTTCGCTAAACAAAGTTGTTGATATAATAACCAATAACCCCCAGTGTCCCTTGCTTATTACAAGAGGCGCGATCTTTTGTTTTGCACCCTCACTTGTTGCTTTTTCTATGAACATTGGTGGTGGGTCCGTTTAAGACTTGCTGAATATTTCTTCAAACAATCGTTTCAAAGGAGACTAGAAAGATGACATAATTAATCCTATTCGTAAGGCAGGTAATAGACAATTAGTCCCGAATTATCATTTCCAGTCTAACTAGAATAGATATCAAAAACATGAGCAAAAATCAGCCAAGACAAAATGCTGGAAAAAGTGGGCAAACATTATCAAAACATGAGCCGGCATTACCACGTAACTGCCGAAGTTTCCTCACTTTGCATCAGCACGTCAATGAAAATTTCGATAAGATGAAAGATTAGGAAAATGAAATAATGTGATCAAAAGGCTACAAAAGTCAGCTGACAAAAGAGCAGATAAAGCAAATAATAAAATATGATATCACATTTTAGATGATCGGAAAGTATAAATTCATCTGTGAAAATGTGATAGATCCTGAACAATGTCTTAAAGACTACAACCAACAATTTCGGTTTTCACATGAATCTCAGTCGAAAACTAGACATTTTCCTGAACAAGTTACATGATACAGCATTGAGGTATGTCTACGAGCAAACCAACCCACTTACCCCATTGCTTTGGCGCTGGTCACTTGTGTTTCACAAAGCACTTCATTAAGAGAAAGAAATGAGTGACAGCTTTTGACATTGAGGTGTTTGTGGAAAACATCCATAATACAAATGTTGTTCTACTTGCAGAGTCTCCAAGGCTATTAAGGCTTATTAGGGATACTAAAAAGACGATAGTGGGTGAAACTATCGCCTAAGAAGATGGAACGCTGATAACGTTCTAGGACAGGGGGGCTAGAACGTTGGACAGAACAGTTTGAAGCACAGTTCAACTGGCCCTCAGTAACGCTTCAGCTACCCAAAATCCACCCCAAACCTGAATGGGATGTAAATGTCGGTACACCAACTCTTCTTGAAGCTGAGAAGGCTATATCGAACCTGAAACGATCCCAAGCAGCAGGATCTGATAGTTTAACACCTGGAGTTTTCAAGGATGAAGGTAGGAACTGCTAATTAAAGTGACGGATGTACGAGGTAGCGTATGAGGTTCAGAAGTGGTGCCGTCAGGCTGATCTACTTCTCTGATTATCCCAGTCTATAAGAAGAAAGAGATATCCTCTTGTGACTCATAGGCGAATTAGTTTGACTAAAATTGTGTCCAAGACCCTAGGTTCCATAGTTATCCGGCGTCTAACTGGAGTTCGAAAACAACAAACTCGAGAGAACCGACAGGTTTCAGACCTAGAAGAGGGTGTATCTAATATATTCCCCCCCCTTCGACAGGTTATGAAACACAGGCACACTCATCGCCTAGTGGCCGACATTTCCCATATTTGTTGACCTGAATGCGGCATTTGACTCTGTCGACCGTGAGATGTGGCGGCGGTGTCTGACTGTAAAGGGAGTACCGAGCAAGTATGTAACGCTAATCAAAGCTCGCTACTCGAACTCACGCAGTCGCGTCAGGACTTCTGGAGAGTTGTCACGTGAATTGACGTCAACTAGTGGTGTCCGCCAGGGATACCCACTGTCACTGTTCCTATTTAAATTCGTCATAGACGTACTAATGGACATAACCTTATGTGCATCTAATTTTAAAGGGATTGATCTACTCTCTATAAGTCATCTAGTTGACTTAGAGTATGCAGATGAATTTGTACTGCTAGCTGAAGATGCTGAAAAAATCCAGGGTCTTCTGGATACGTCGAGAGGAAATCTGAGTATGTTTGGCATGTCTCACACCTGTCAGATGTAAGATAGTGCTCTAAGAGTGATGTTTTGCAAGTATTCCCAGTTTAATGAAAGAGAGTGAAGTGGTGGAATGTGTCAACGACTTCACTTACCTTGGAATTGCATCAGCCCAAACTCGGTGGTGAAATTTCAGTTTGCACACAGAAGGCCTGTTTAACACTTCCTAACTTGCGTCATATGTGCTGCCAACTGACCAGATATCTGAATATCTATCAATGGACGAATTTACTGTACTGCAGTGAGTTCTGTCGTGATATACTGCTGAGACCCCTTAAAAGTAGATATGAAGCTATCACAGGGTTTTGATCACAGATGTCTTCGTACCATCGCTTGCGTATATGGTGGGATGAACGTGTAAGAATTGTTTAAGTCAGGCGAAAGGCACAAGGCAAGACAGGTAAGTTAATTAATGAGGTTGTGAGCCTCAGTTGAACGAGATGGCCCGAAGAAGCACTGCGCATGTTGAGCCACCAACTACCTCAACGTGCCGTGATAGGGGAAGTTGGATTAGGTTGCAAGAAGGTTTAGTGGTCAGATCAAGATGTAGCAACAGTCAATGAAGTCCCTAATTGCTGGTTTGAGTCGTGTGAGATGTGGACTACAGGTTGGTGTCTTCGAGACGGAAGGAGTCAGTGGTTGAAGACTGTTAGTGACATGACTGTAAGTCGGTGACAGGGTGGAGATGTGTTGACTCGTTGACATCTAAAGCTTGAATATTCTCACTAACCGTTATCTTAAGAGTGTTTGTTCTCTCATATGAGTTTGTTTACTTTGAAATTAGTCATTTTCTATTGACTTGTTGTTTGTGTACTACTGTGAAGTCTGGCAAGTTGAGCCGATAGCACCTGTGTGCGACGTGCTGTGTTGATTTTGTCAGTCAGTCAATTTCGCTTCATAGAATGATCAATAATAGGTACCTTTTACTAAAACATGAAAAAGTAGGTTGTTCAAAGGACGGGGAGATGAAACCTCTAAAATAACAATATCAGGGTTAACGCAAGCCAGCTAGCTCACTACCCTAGTCACAGAAGATTAAAGCTCAAAGCCATTCAATATTTGATATGGGATTTTGCAACTTGTAACAAGAGGAACAAACTGTTATCAAACTGGTGAGCATTAAAAAACTGTCAACGTATGGTTGAAGATTTTATGAAGTATATATGAGGCAATTAATAAATAGTAATAAGAAATTACCAGAGAAGCATTCAACCCGCCATATGTAGCATTTTCTTCAGGACGACATTCAGTGTAAACACCCACTTCGTTGCAGATCCGGTTTACTGATGTGTACTCTTTAAACTGCTGCACTTTATCAGCCCATGCACAAGAGGCGGCGAACCACAATAGGACAAGCATAACGGACGAAATGAATTCCTAAAACCTGTACATAGTGCAATTGAACTTACATATTTACTAAAACGTGAGTCTCTGAGATAACTATCATGGAAAAATACATAGAAGATGCAGATACCAACACATAAGATCATCGCAAGCACACCAACAAACACATAAAACTGTGCTGCTGATGCGAAATTCCCATACATATGTTTGATTGGAGAGTTATTGCAGCTAGGAAGAATGACTGAGTCGATGCTGAAAAGTAATATGAAAACGCGTGAAAATACCTGAATGGGTAGGTAAATTTGGATTTCCATGAATTAGTTTGATTTCCACAGGTAAGTTTTAACTCGACACTAGTTGAAAAGTCGCATGTTGTTGCGAATGCAGAAATAGCTAGAAACTATTAGTGGGATATAACATATTACAAGAACATACCATCTCAATTAGTCTTATAAATCCTCTAGGTTCCTTGAAAACCTCCCATCTTGATGGCTGTTAAATACAAACATGAGTAGCAAAGTATCCAAAACTTACAGATGAATCGATCATGGCTGAAACTCGATTACCTTACACAGAAAAACGTAACAAACTCAAAACCACTGATTTATGAAAAACTTTAACGACCAGCTACTGATACGTTTTTGTTCAGACTTTAAACTTCAGGGAGGTGCGTAGATAAGTGTTTAGTGGTGACCACGAGAATCTGTAAGAGAAAAGGGGAAGAGAAAAATATGAGCTGACGACTCAGCAAGTACACAGGATATGCCTACACCTAATAGTCAAAACAAACGACAAGCGGAAGAGATTGACAACGAAGAGATGAGGAAATCTAAAAACCAAAACTCGAAAACGAACAAGTAATGTCTCGAACGCGTCACAGGAGACCGAAGTAACGCAGCAATCAAGTTTTGCATAAATTCTAATGGTTCAAATGGTCATTGGTGGAATAGAAGAAGCTTTCCCCTAACTGGCCTCCATGTCTCAGATTCGTGGATCACGACTTTCTGCGGTTTTAAATGTGTTTTCAAGCAAAGGGAGAGGGAAAACAGAAGGTTAAAATGTGAAAATTCAATGGTTCTGGGTAGATTTTAGCCACATCTCAAATAAGTATCCAACTGGCGTTCAAAAAATTCACAAGAAGTAGCCTGGACCACGTCCGCAGGAAGGGAGTTCTAGGGTCTTACAACTTTTAGGGAATAGAAGTCGCGCCAGATATCTAACCTGCAGTGTTCCAGGCTTGGTTTCTGTACATGTCCTCTAAGATTAATGCTACAACTAAGACTCAGTAAGCGACGGAGTGGGTGTTCGGGGGTGCTCAGAATGTTGTGAGTAGTTGTCAAGTCTCCTTTCAGCCTTCTGCATTACAGGGGACATAGATCCAGCACAATCAGTCATCCTTCACATATTTCAGGCCTAAGTCCTCGGGCAGATTTGTTCGAGCATCTCTGGACACTTTCCAAGCTTAATTTATCCCTCTGCAGAGAAGTGAGCGTGGTCCAAAACTACAGGTGAGGCGGTATGATACTGTAGAAAATTCGTTGGAAGCACCTGCGACCGAGTTGTTCAAAAATTCTTCCAGGGATTATTGACGCCAAGTTTTCGCGAAATGCCTTTCTGTGACAGCTGGCATAGGATTTCAAGTCTTAAGGGACCAAAGTGCCTAAATCCTTCTCCATTAGCGACGCTTCAAGTTCTATGGCTTTTAGGCCACAAACATGACATGCATCATTTTCTCTGACACACTCTGACAATATAATACGACAGTGATCATGACAGCGTAGAAAATTGCCATTATTAGGGAGTGTACATGTACATCTTCGGATATTCGTACGAAGTGTTCACGCCCCTCCAACTTAGGGTCCCTGCATATTAGGAAGCACTTTTAGGATTTGTTCTGATGCGAACTTGACAGACGCAAAGACCAATCACTAATTATTCGAACTTGTTATATACCCACGAATACGAGACCAAGGAAGAACACGATAGCGTAGTCGGATGGAATAGTATATTTGGATGGTTATGCCAAAATACCGATGCGTTCCAACTAACTGGCTAGAGAGTCGAATACGAGCAATGCAACGTAACACGACAGCGTGCCAAATGGCGAGGATGCTTGACCGGATGCCTTCAGCTTAGCGAGTCCAGTTAAACTATCAAGGTCAGCATCAATGTCGAAGTCGTCAAACCCTAGGCTATTGATTTTGGGGAAGTGTATGACGCTACAGATCACTCCCCCCCTAGTGGGTTCGTGAGGACCCTAAGACGATACCAGCCGGAAGTAAAAACCCAGTGGTTTCTCCACTGGTAAAACTCTCCGATGGGCTCACTGCGTGAGGTGGCCCCTGGTTGTCTGAACCTTATTCTAGGGTGTCGTGGCGATTAAATAAATAAAATACAATAAATGAAATTGTACGTCGGTCGCGGTCATCTGTTCCTTTCGACGTTCCGTCCAGTGCTCGTTGCACCTGGAATATAAATAAAAGTCTTTAATACCACGAAAACGTTGCGTAAAAATGGGAATTATTTATATATAAACGTGTCGAAAAAGAAAAATTTACGCTTATCTTCGCCGTTTTTTTAGTTTTTATTACATGGTAAATAAAAATTGATATAAAAAGGCAAAGTGTACGAGGGTTTGTGCCGGTAAATAAGAAAAATAGTGCCTCGAAAAAAAATGGTTGGCACACACATAGCTAAGTTGAATATGACTTCAGGTACTCTGGGAACCTGACGGTTCGACCTGATCGTGTTTTTTGTTGCGCCGCTGGTTGTTGCAGCTGTGCATTACCAGGCACATCGTCGAGAATTTCGATAATTGAGTCATCCGTCGGTCGGATGTAGCGAGCTGAAACGTCACTTACAATGGGGTTGCCTTCGAAATAAGCTGGTTTCAAACGGTCGATACTGACAGTATCTTCGCGTCCGCCTCGCTCAATTACATAGAATTTCTCATGTCGCTTAATCACTTTGAACGGCCCGTCGTAGGGTGGTTCAAGTGGTCGACGAACAGCGTCGTGGCGAACAAACACGTGTGATGTCTTCTGTAAACTGGGGTGGACGAAAACATCAGTCGTTTGCGGTCTAATCGGAGAAGGCCTAACTGAACGCATTGCGTTTGTAAGCCTAGTCACGTAAGATGCCCTGTCGGAAACATGTTTGAAAGTTGAAGGGGAAACAAACTCACCTGGTAGGCGAAGAGTGGTCCCATAGACGAGTTCTGCAGGAGTGCATCCAGCATCAACTTTCAACGCGTTACGAATACCTAGTAGGACTAGAGGCAGAGCCTCGGTCCACTGAGGTATGTTTGTAGCTGAAAGGGAAGCTTTCAGCTGTCGATGGAAACGCTCTACCATGCCATTTGCTTGTGGATGGTAGGCTGTCGTTCGGAACCGAGTGCAACCTAAAAGTGCCGTTAGAGCGTGAAATAGTCCGCACTCAAATTGGCGCCCACGGTCGGTTGTGACGTAGGATGGACATCCGAAGTTCGCGATCCATCTTTCGACGAAAACACGAGCAACTGTTTCGGCAGTAATATCTTTAATGGGTACTGCTTCCGGCCATCGTGTGAAACGATCAACACAGGTGAAAAGGTAGGTACATCCATTAGATTCTGGTAGGGGTCCTACAATATCTATATGGACGTGGTCGAAACGCATGTCTGGGGCTAGAAATGAGCCTAAAGGGCTTTTCGTGTGTCGCGTGACTTTACACTTTTGACAAGCTAAGCACGACTGGGCCCACTCCTTAACGTCTTTGTTCATCCCAGGCCAGCAGAAACGTTGTGCGATAAGCCTAATGGTGGCTCGTACACCTGGATGAGAGAGTTTGTGCAACGTATTGAAGACGTTGCGTCGACAACTCTTCGGAACTATTGGGCGTGGTTGACTAGCAGAGACATCGCACAAAATTGCATCCTTGTCTGATCCAACAGGACAAAGTCGCAGTTTGAGAGTTGTGGACGACAACTCATGATGCAGCTCAAGGTCTTCCTTTTGACGCCGAGCTAGTTCAACGAGATCAATACCCTCGATATAGTTTATCGAAGCTATTCGAGATAGTGCGTCGGCTGCGGAGTTGTTTGCTCCAGAAATGTGGCGGATGTCTGACGTGAACTGGGAAATGTAATCCAGCTGTCGCGACTCACGAGGGGAGTATTTGTCAGACGCCGAGCTGAGGGAAAACGTTAACGGTTTGTGGTCTGTGAAAATAATGAAATCACGACCTTCCACAGAATGTCGAAAATGGCGTACAGAACAGTACATGGCTAGGAGTTCCCTACCAAATGTACTGTATCTTGTTTCCGCGTCTTGCAGCCGCCTCGAGAAAAAGGCTAACGGTTGCCACTGGTTGTCAGTCAACTGTTGCAAAACTGCTCCAATTGCTGAATCAGATGCATCAACAGCAATACTCAGAGGAGCATTGGGGTCATGATGCATAAGCATGGTTGCGTTCGAAATGGCTTCCTTGACTTTGGAGAAAGCAAGTCTAGCCGCGTTGTCCAGAGACACGAACTTCGCAGTTCCTCGAAGTAGATCTGTGAGTGGTCTCATGACAGAGGCACAGTTAGGGATAAACCTTCGGTAATAACTTACCAGGCCATTGAAAGTGCGGAGATGTTTCACAGTGGTCGGCTCTGGATAGTTTGTGATAGCCGCCACTTTATCTCTCAATGGGCGTATACCTTTGTTGTCAATGGTATGCCCAAGGAAGCTGAGTGATTCAACTCCTATTTCACACTTCTGTAAGTTAACTGTGATGCCATGTTTTTTGAGTCTTTCGAATGCGAGGTCCAAATGTTTAAGGTGTGTTTCCTTATCTGGACTCGCAATTAGACAGTCATCTATGTAGACATGAACAAAATTCAGACCACGGAAGACGTCGTCCATAAAGCGTTGGAATGTTTGTGCTGCATTCCGAAGACCAAAAGGCATGCGCAGGAATTCAAACAGGCCAAAAGGAGTAATAATGGCTGTTTTCGCGATATCTTCTGCTGCCATAGGTATCTGGTTGTACGCTTTGACTAAGTCGATTTTCGAGAAAATGTTCATGCCGCATAAGGTTGCGGTCAAGTCGTAAACGTGGGGTATAGGGTAGCAGTCCGGAGTTGTTTTGGCGTTAAGCCTTCGGTAATCACCGGTCGGACGCCAGTCGTTGCTATCCTTTTTGGGCACCATGTGCAATGGCGATGCCCAAGGACTGTTTGACGGTCTGATAATGCCCAGTTCCAGCATATGGTCGAATTCATTTTTCGCCGTTTGCAGCTTATCGGGGGCTAAACGGCGAGCTTTGGATGCCACAGGTGGACCTGTGGTTGTGACGTGATGCATAACATTGCTGGTTATGCACGGAAGAGTGTGTTTCGGTTGTTGTAACTCTGGATATTTCTCCAGAACTGCCTGGTAGGACGCGTCGCCTGATTGTTTAGTCCTAACGATGGCTAAACTCGGACCTACATAGGTGGTGCCGCCAATAGATAACTTTGTGTTGTTATCTATCAGTCGTCGACGGCGAGCATCTACGAGTAGATCGTAATGGTTCAGCAAATCTAT